GTCCTGGGCAGCAAGGCCAGAGTCCCGGGTGCAGCCGTCCTGCCGGCGTCCCTCTGAGGACGGAGGCCTGGTCTGGGGACGGCCCTCCCGGCCGGGCAGGGTCTTCACTCCTACTGTCAGGAGACAGGTTGGGAAGCAGAGAGGGGGCCCCAGGGTCGCAGAGCAGCTGCAGGTGCAGGCTCAGGAGGGGCCAGTCAGCGTCCCTGGGCGTGGCCCGGAGCCTTGTTCAGAGCTGTCCCCTCACTCGCAGACCCTGCCCCCAAATCCCCCTGCCCGCGGCTGCGCCCCGGGGAGGCCCGCGGCCGTGCTGGTGGAGAGCGGGCCTGTGTCGTACCACCCCGAGGAGGAGGCCGAGGAGGAGGACCCCGACCCCGAGGAGGAGGACGGGGAGCCCTGCGTCAGTGCCCTGCAGATGATGGGCGGCAGCGGTGAGGGCCCGCGGGGCTGGGCTTCCTGCCCCGGCGACCCGGGGAGGGACTATAGGTTTTGAGGCCCTGGGTGGGCAAGATGGACTGGCCAAGCCTGCCCCTGGGAGACAGGGGCTTGGGGTGCCCGGGAATGATGCCCACAGACGAGCTGTAGGGGTCCCACCCACCTCACAGTGCACCTCACACAGGCCTTTGACCTGAAGCCAGGCCCCCCCCGCCCACGTGCCAGGCCATCGGCCCCCAGGACCCGCAGAGACCATAGTGGGACTTTCCATCAACTGTGGGGCCTGTGTTGCCGAGACAACGCTGGTGCCCGGCCGCGCAGGGGCTCAGCGGCTGCCGTCTCTCTCTGCAGGTTATGGCTGTGACGGTGACGACGACGACGGCTACTGAGGTGACCGCACACGCAGTGTCCGTGGTGGACCCTGGCTTCCGAGGGGCCAGGCCGGGCCTCGGGCCCCATGCCCAGGTGTGAGCGTGGCCCCGCCTGCCCCGCAGCCTCGTCGTGGTCATGAGGGACGTCCTGGCACTGGTGCTGGCGCCATGTTTTGAGCAATGCACGGCGTGGGCCTCGCCGCGCGGGCCTGAACGGCCTGCGTGACTGTCGGACGCGGTCTCACGGCCCGACCCTCTGCAGGCGTG